CGACTATTCGTATTCCGAAACTGACGTGGTTATTTAAGTTTTACACGACCCTTCCTTTTAGGAAACCGACGTGGTTACTTAAATTCAACGAAACTTTGTTTTAGTAGACCGTCCTCGTTAATTAAAAGGCAATGACCTCTTTGGTTTTCTTAAAACGACGTCGTTCTCTGGGAAATATACGACAAAAGTATACTTTTGCAATAGACGACGTCGTTCTCGTGGTTAATTATTACCCACCAACGTCTATTATTTAAATTTTACGTCGCTAAGTGTAATAGAACCGACATGGATATTGAATATAATTTGTATAAATATGATTTTTTTCACGCGTTTTTTAACCTTCAGTTTTCAATTAGGGTTCCAACTTCTTCTTGCCCTTGGCTTTGTCTCACTTATTGCCCTTGTCTCTGAAAGACAAATGTGGACACTTTAGCTTCTTATACATTTTAGATTTCAAATGGTAGTGTTCTCAGTCCTATATGTTTGATGATTTTCCTTATGCAAAACCAAGCCCTTAATCTCAGTTTCCTTTATTGAATTTTCTTTTCTCTTTATTGAAGGTTTGAAATGTCTTACAGTACTTCAGAAGATATTAAGAAAGATATTAGCAAAGTGTTGGAGCGTAAAAAAAAAATAATCTTAAAAAGCAATAAAAATTAAGACGGAGGTTTACAGAGAAAGAAGACATACAAATCAAATAAATACGACGGTAATTTGAACAAACTGCCGTTGTTATTACATCTTGATACTTTATGCATATGACGTGGATATTCTAATTTAGACGTCGTTATCTACTCTTCTGCTATCGTTGTTCTCTATTATTCTATATGACAGTAGTGTTGTAGGTACCGTCGTAGTAAACTCCAAAATAAGAAGTCGATAAATATATCGTCCGCGTCATGGTACATTGATTTAACACGTCGTTTTTTTTTTAATTTACCGACGTGGATTCCGTAATATTATACGACACTCACTACGAACATTTGGTCGTGTTTATGTATGGGTTAACAGGGTGGCTTTTGTGTTGAACCGTCGTCTTTACTTTCTACATCGGTGGATTCATACATGCTGTCGTTGTTTTTCGAACTAAATTTAACTCTGAATAAAACCATTTTACTAAGACGACGCTTTGTTATCGGGGTGCGTCGTTTTTAAAAAATATTCAAGAGGACCTCCATTTTTTAGTTGTTTAGGTTACTTATACACAACGGTTTTCTGTTACCGTGGTCTTTCTAAACACAATGATGGTTTTTTGTTCTACCGTCGGGTTTTCTAGTCATCTTTTTCACTTTTTGTAGTAGTGAAACCAAGCAAACTACAAGTAAGAAGGTGATATTATTTATTATCCATTCAAATCAATTTATCGAACTATAATGGTAAATAGTTAGCATAATAAGATTGCGATGTGATGCCCAGTATAATTAGGTGCATATTCTAGCTATAAAGCTTAATTTCTAAGTTATTTGTGCTCTCCAATCCTAAGATTATACGTAATTTATTTTTTCGTAAATGCATGTGTAGAAAAGGATAGGATAAATAAATTGTGTATCCATGAAAGAAATATTATTTTAAGAGATGAGTTTGTTCGACCAGAATGATAACTAAATTAGCATATTAGGTTTCAAGCCAAAACGAGTACGACCTAAATTCAAAGTATATATATATTCTATTATTGGCGTTATTTGTTTGTACAAAAGTATGACTTTTAGCAAATCCATGATGAATGCATTGGATTCAAAGAATTGTTCATGTATGGGTTCTGTAAAAAAAAAAACCAATGTATCGAACTATAATGGTAAATAACTTGGCATAATAAGATTGCGATTTTATTCCTTATATAATTAGTGGCTTAAAATTATTGAAACAATATAACTTAATTTCTAAGTTATCAGTGCTTTCCAAACCGACGATTATATGTAACTTATTTTTCACATGTACATGTGTACATAAGGATAAATCCAATAAATTATGTATTCATGAACATGCCATAAATAACTTGGCAACCTAAACGAGTACAACTTGCGATTAAAGTATATATGACTCCAAGGTCAGTGTTGTTTGTTGGTACATAAGTATGAATTTTAGTAAATCTATGATGAAACCACGGTAGATTGGAATTTAGATTTCTCAATATAAACGCTACGTGGCCGAACTTGTTTACCAACTTTTTGTATGCGAAAGAGATACTGGTTTTTTTTTAAAATAGAGTTATGTGGTGATAAAATAAAATAAAAATGACAACCAAAGAGATACTGGTTTTTTTAAAAATTAAGTCTTTCGTGTAATTCGGTGGATCAAACACCAAACTAGTAAGAAATAATAATATTTAGCACACATTAAATAAATTCGTAATATTTACTTGTTTTGAGATTCAGAACTACGTGCTTGAGACTAAAATATACAATAACTACATATTAGTTAACTTCTTTGTAATCCACATATGCACAACTTTATCTGTTTTTCAAGTGATTAAAAGAGGTCAATTAGGACCCCCACTTATATTTACCATATTTACTACAACGGTTTGAGAATAGAAGACTATTTCTTATCAAGTTTCGAATTTCATGTTGTCGCCTAATTAGCGAAAATTGTTAGGTGTTACACTATTTCAATTATTTTTTTTCGTTGTGTTCGGTAATTTAGAATCACTTCACTGTTTGCTTGTGTACCACACCTTTATCATCACAGTATTATGAAAAGAAATTCAAACCTAGCAAACTATAAGTAAGAAGGTGATGTTATTTATTATCCATTCAAACACTTAACGAACATATTGGGAGAACATAAGATTTTTGATGCACATCATAAGTGTATGATATATATTGATGTATCAAGTAGCACTGATTATGGCATTTCCTTCTGTGCTTGCGGGTGTGTAGAGTTGTCTTGAGGAATGAACTTCAATATTTCATATGGCGGACACTTACACCAACCCTCGACGCAGAAGCATTGGGCGCATTGAATAGATGTTTGGCACGGATAACGAACAACTGGACCCCTTGCTTCGACTCCAAATTGCACACCTACCACAAGTAATATTTCAATAATTCATAACAAAACTTTTTTTTGTCTTTGTTGTGAACATACTGCTTTATGCATAAGTTGACGTTACAAAAATATACACTTAAACTAGACTTTATGGCTGAAAATATCGACAATTGTTAGGTTAAAGAATATAATTTAAACGATGTATCAACGACATATACACATTTTAAAAAATAAGTGAAGTCAATCACGTTGGAGAAAAAAAAAATTCCTATATGCAGTTGTATTGTTCAAAGAAGTCAGCCCTTGAGGTTAGCCTATGTTGTTAGGATTAATGTTCGGATTATAGTATGTCAAGAATAAATTTCTCTTTCATTGTAACAAAAAGAAAAATTGAGAGAAGTATTTTACCATCATATGAAACAAGAAAGAGCACAATGAGGAAAGCTGACTTGAATGAACCTTTCTCCATATGTATTCAATTTGTTGAAAGCTAGGAAGGATTATAGGTTTGTACGTGCTATAAAACTTAAATTCGGAGTCACTAGTTTTTTAAAAGACTACAAGATATATAGGCGAATTTGAAAACTATTTTCCATGATTGCACATTTCGGTGAGGTTGGATTCAACAAATTGTTCATGCATGAATTTGGTAAAACGTGCATGCAAGACGAGTTTCCTAGTAAAAGAAGGATTCTTTCCTAGTTTGTTTACTTAGTTGTTTAGGATTTTGATTTGTTGTGGGAGAGTTTTTCCGGACCTTTTTAGAGTTAGTTTTAGTTACTTTTCACTATATAAGCCCACCCTAAGCTCTCTCTACCCAACCTACCACCTTTTACTTAATTTCCATTCAAGATAGGATGTGGAGCTTAGGGGTACGCATTGCCATTGTTTTCCGAGTTCTATATTTTTGCATGACTTTTCTTATGATTTTTAATTTGACTATGTGTAACTAAATACTTTTCTAGGGCATGATGAAACCCTAATATGATGATCTAGTTTTCTTATTTTGCCTATCCTTTGATTTCCTTTTGATGCTAGATTCTTAATCACCATGCTTATAAACTTGATTGAATGTCTTGAAGCTTAGCTACTATCTAGGTTGAAAGTTGAGTTATTTGATGCAAATTAGAATAATACCATACCTAATTTGAGGCTTGCTTCTTGTAGTTAGAAATTGTAATTCTTCTAGGGTAAATACCATACTCATAGGCAGAGACGAATCCAGGATTTCAAAATACACTGGGCTGGATTTCCCTTATAAACAAACTCGACGGTACGAGTAAATTTCATTGATAACAAAAATTATACACCTAATCAGGGGGGACATATTGAGCCTTACCCTCAAAATGCATCTAGTACATAAGATATAAACTAGTAAAAAAATACAATAATAAATAAATATGCAATGCAAATATATAATACCACTATTTGAGTTTCACCCTTCTAGGCTTCAAAGAGTTGAAATCACTAATTGTTGATTCGTTATCGATACTATCAACAAATTCTTTTTCAATGTGAAGTATCATACAATCAGCAAGAAACTCATCATTTATCTTGTTCCAAAGTTGATTTTTGATAAGTCTCATAGAAGAAAATGCACGTTCTGTTGTTGTTGTAGAAACCGGAGGAGTTAACACCAAACGAATCAATCTATCAATCAAGTGGTAGGTGTGTGTTAACCTTGTTTAAAGTAAGCACTTAAGTAATTTAGGAATAGAATCAAGATTCTTGATGGCTGGAAGACGATCCATATCAGTCTTATAAAATCCCAACTGTTGATGTAAAGCCTACAACTTAGTGGTAGTAAAATCTTAAGGATAAAACTTCCCAGCATGATTGCATATATCACCAATGTTAAACTGCTTAAATGAATCATGGGGATCCAATGTTGAGGTAAGATAAAGAAGTTCCACGGTTTGCTCTGGAAATCTAGTATTTAACTCTACCAACTGAAAATCTATTACATCATTAAATACATCAATACGGAAATAATGCTCAACTGTAATAGAATCCTATTGTTGACAAGAACAACCTCTACCCATTTTATGACAAGCACTCATATCATGTACACTAATGTCATGTTGTTCACAAAATGATAGCACACTTTTGATAAAATCATCCCAACCATTATTTCTCAACTCATCAAACTTCATTTTTGTACTTGAAACAAGATTCAAAGCATTTACAATGTCCTGAGATTTGCTTTGAAGTGATTGACAAAGAAAATCTGTGAATCCCATAGTTTTTTCCAACAAAAGTAAGGAAAAAATAAATTCAAACGACATCATGGCAATATAAATACTCTCATCTTCCCCATGAAATTGTGATATAGGTCCATTACGACCTATTTCATCAAGAAGTGTCTTGGTTGCACCAAATAAATCAATCAAACTTCTGATAGAACTAAAATGAGACCCCCAACGAGTAGTTTCAGGTCGTTGCAAACAACGAATTTGATTAGCCCCTGTACCCATTCCAAGTTTTCCAGCCTCTAACAACCCTTGAATTTCAACTTTTCGAGATAATTTCAACTCAGAATGACTTTTAGCAGAAGCACCAACAAAATTCACAATATTATTCAACATTGAAAAAAATCTCCAAATAACTCCTACCTCTTTAGCTGCAGCATTTAATGCTAGTTGGAGGCGATAAGCAAAGCAATGTATATAATATGCATATGGACAATTATTGAGAAACAATGCTTGTAAGCCATTCCATTGACCACGCATATTGCTAGCACCATCATATCCTTGGCCACACATATTTTTAACTAAAAGAGTGTGTTTACCAAGCACTTTACAAATGTCAGTTTTAAGAGTTGAGGAATTAGTATCACGAACACTTATAATCTCAAAAAACCGTTCTCGAATAAACCCATCACGACCAACAAATCTTAGGATAATAGTCATTTGTTCCCTTTTAGATTCATCAAGTGCTTCATCAACAAGAATACAAAATTTTCCATCCTCTCCAACTTCCTCACGAATCTTCTTCCTTACTTTTTTAGCAATAATATTTAGGATCTCCTTTTGTATCGTTGATGCAATATATTTCGCATTTCCAGGAGCATTCTCTGAGACGACTTTTTCAACTTCTACATTCATTCTTGAAAAGGCTTTTATCAACTCAATGAAATTTCCCCAATTTGATGACTCACAAGATTCATCATTACCTCTAAGAGCCAATCCTTGATTTGCTAGATACCTAATGGACTCAATTGTGCTTGTAAGTCTCAACCGATTTTTTGTAACATCTTGTGGTGATTGCACCACTTTGTCAATATGTTGAAAAGGGTTGCTTAAATCCACCCACTTTTGCATAGCAAGATGATGTGGAGAATTTATATTGCCTACATGACCAAGGAAAACACATTTTTCCGAACCAACTCTCTTCCAATTTTTAAACCCACCTATAGTGAATGCCTTGTGTGAATGATCAGTTTCAAAAAAAGCATGGAAAACAAAACCTTTTATCTTCATGAACAGAATACTCAAGCCAAGGGAATTGTTTCAACTAACATTGTTGAAATCGACGATTTTGATTCCCACCTAAGTGGCGTGAATGTGGGTTGACATGGTCCTAAGAAAATATGATAAGTCATTTATAAATCACATAAATTTACTCTTTTCATCTAGATATTATATGCAAAAGTTGATTGTTCTATAGAGATCTTCACATATCCCAGCTTTTGTGTTTTCAGAAACTCTAAAATGCCAAAAATGGAGAAATTACTTTTTACTGGGAGATTTTGGTTGAGACCACTTGGAGATGAAAGCTAAGAGGTCAAGAGACGTTATGTCAAAGTTTGAGAGCTATGGGACCAGCAAACTGTTCAGAATGAATTATTAATTTCAGGGCATGTGCCATACGGGCAGATTGGAGCTGTTGGGCTTGAGGACGATTTGAGTCAAGTTTATGGGATTTTTCTTGGAAACTATTTGTCATACAAATTGTAGCTGACGTCAATACCTTTCCAATGAGATCTTACACGATCAATTTGGTGAAGATTAAGCCCACCAAAAGCCCCGAATCGGAATAGCTGCTGTAAGTTGCAAAGAATTAGGAAAGCTGACTTGTACTTTCTTTTTTTATATTTCCTATTGGTTACAATTTGTTCGGCTGTTCATACCTTGTAAGTTAAGTTATTTGAGGCTTACTAGGACTAGGAAAAGGTAGAAAGATCATATAAAAAGAAAAGCCTAGGTCAGAAAAGAGGACTTTTGACGACCCATTCAACGAGAGGAGAATACGGCTCTAGGAGTTTGCGTGCGACGTTGTATTTTAGGGTTTCTTCCGTCACTCTTATGATTTTATTTTCTGTGTTTTTAATTATTTTCATGTGTAACTAAACCTTAATCTAGGGCGGGGTTAAGCCCTAGCATGATGATATAGTACTGTATGTTTATTTATCCATTAATGTGATTTTGTGTTTGAACTTTTAATTGCCGAGTGTTATACTGGTTATGTGTTTTGATGCTTGATCACCATTATGGTATATGACTAAGTTATATGATGCAAATGCCACACTGATTTTGAGTATGCTTCTTGCAATTAAAAGGTGTGATTACTTACAGTAAATGCCATGCCATAAGAATTACATGATTGATTTGGTTACTTGTGCTCATCGTACATGTTTATATCTATCCTAAATGCCATAGGGAGATTGCATGTTGTAGGAATTATTCTAGCCTAAATGCCATAGGGAGAATAAACGTAAGGTAACCAATTTTCAACCTGGAATTACCTCTTAATGGATGAATGAACGTAAGTGCTATATTGGATTGCTTGTGGTGGACACCTAGCCTTAGTGTCTTATCTTCCTGATTTTCTCAACCAATTAATAATCCTTTAAAACTTTCTTCCCAATTTGTGTTTTATTTTATTCGCATTGAATCCAAAAATAATAATTCATTGATTTACAAGTAAGTATTTAGTACATCTTTTCAATTGACTTCAATCTTCGTGGGAATGACCTCGTATTTACGTGTGCTATATTGATAATAGCCTTGTTCTATTGCGAGTATATATAGTGTTTTAACCTCTGTTTTGCAGGTGGCTAAAATCCTATCAGAATATATGCTCTTCGAACATTATCACGTTCATTAATTGAATATGTGCATATTTGATGACGTAATCCTGGATCACGTTCAAGAGAATTGGTATCAACTTGTTGATCACAATGGACTCTTTGAGACTCGACTCTTTGAAATTCAGAAAGAGGTTTCTCCCCACAAATTGGAGAAGATGAAGAAGGGCTAGAAGGCATGCTACTTGATGATCCTTCATTTTTTTTCTTAAAAAAATGCAAAATATTCTTCACTCTCTTAGGATTTCGATGATGATCTGACATTATAAGTATAACGTATAACATGAATGATGTATGTAAGCATATTCAAAAATCCCCAAATTCAAAAATCCCTAAATGTTGTTTATAAAAAATATATATATATATAATTATAACTCCCTAATAAGAACTAAGTGAAGAAAATTACCTCAACAAACAAAAAGAGGAGAAATTGGCTTGTTAATTTGTTGACCTGGAGCTGGACCAATTGCTGGTCGGGTGCCTTTGGCTTTGTCGGCCTCTTTGCGTTTTCACCCTCACAAACTGATGTTTTTTGTTTTTTTTTTACCACTCAAGTAGGTTTTGACTTTGTTTGCTTTTGATGCAGGTACGAATTGGGCTATCCCTTCTATTTAGCTATAGATATTTTTTTTTGGGCTAAGACTACATCACATTTAAAAATAAAATTTGTTTTGGCATGGCCTATAGCCCATACAACGCAGTTTACATGGTTTTCAAAACTTTCACAAAGCTTAAAGAGTCTATATTCTTATTTCTACTAAATACCATAAACAAATTGCATGTAGGAATATATGAGTTAGTCTAAATACCATAGGTAATTCATGAGAAAAAGCAAAAAATAATTAACAACAACAATTGGATTAATTAACAGATAAGTAATTTAGAGGTTAGATTGGATTATTAGTGGTGGATTCGTTGTCCTAGTGCTTTTATAATTGTTGTATGTTTATTTGTTTTGGTTTTTAAGATTTTGTCAATTTTTGTTTAATACCACTCAATCGTTTGTTTAATTAGGTTTAGTGCAATTTAGGTGATTAAGTTGGTTAATAAATCCTTTTAGGTTCGACCTCGTAAGTTGGTTAATAAATCCTTTTATGAGTTGGCGAGTAATTTAATTTGTGATTTTTAAATATTCTTTTCTAGGTGTTCAAAAGTCTACATCAAGAAAAGAATATTTAAAAATTTGGAAAAACTTGATGTAGATTTTCAAACTCCTAGAAAAGAATAGTAAAAAATCACAAATTAAATTACTCGCAAGTGCATGAATCAACAATATATAGTACAGAGATATGCGAGTACGAAGTCAAACCAACAAATTGCACTAAACCTAATTAAACAAACGATTGATTGATTGATTGATTTATTGAACTAAAGTTGATAAAAACTTTAAAATCAAAACAAATAAAACACACGATATTTAAAGGGATTAAAAATCAATATATAAAAGCACAAAGGACACCGAATCCACCACTAATAATGCAATCTAGCCTCTTAATTACCTATCCGTTAATTTATTAAATTGATGTTATTGATTAATTTTCCTTTTGCATGAATTACCTATGATATTTAAGCTAACTCATATATTCCTACATGTAATCTACGGTATTTAGTACAAATATGAACGCATATAGAAACTCTTTTGAGCTTTGTGAAAACCTTTGATAAGCATGTAAACCCTAGGAGTATGGTATTTATCCTAGAAGAATTACAATTCCTAACCACAAGAAGCAAATGTCAAATTAGTTGTGGTGTTTACTCTAATTTGCATCAATTAACTCAATTAGAAACCTAGATGGTAGTTAAGCATCAAGACATTCAATCAAGTTTATAAGCACATTGATTAAGAATCCAACATCAAAAGGCAATCAAAAGATAAGAAGAATGAGAAAACTGGATCATCATATTAGGGTTTCATCATGCACTACTACAAAAAACACTTTGCACGACGAAATAAGTTTGTTGCGCAAAGTACAATTTCGTCGCGCAAAGTTTGCGCGACGAAATTTTGGTAGCGCAAAGATCATCAAGAAAGAGTTTGCGCAACGAAAAACATTCTTTGTCGCGCAAAGCCACTTTGCGCGACAAATACTAACGTCGCTCAGAGCTACTTTGCGCGACGAATCTTAACCACTTTGCGCGACGAATTCTAACTAATTTGCGCGACGAATACTAACCACTTTGCGCCACGAATATTAACTACTTTGCGCGACGAATATTATCTACTTTGCACGACGAATAATATCTACTTTGCGCGACGAAGTTTAACTAATTTGCGCGATGAAAGTTAATGTTGCGCAAATATACTTTGCGCGATGAAATATTTTGTCACGCAAGGTTTTTGACATTTTGTTTTATTATTTCTCTTATATCAATTTCATTATATTAATTTTTTTCAAATTTTTACTTTTTAAATTTAATTTAATTGTATGATTTTTTTTTAATTACTTTAATTTAAATTGACATATTCAAAATAAAATTACATATGAAAAATAGTGGTCAAATTATCCAATATATATAATATTCAAAATGTACACATAAATTAACAAAGTACAATAATAAAATCTACAAGCCTATTGTGGTGGTAGTGGGGAAGGATTCCCAAATTATCCTCAACTTTAGCCGTAAAAGTCTCAACGATTCCCTACAAAAAAAATAAATATTGTCAAATAACAAATAATAATAACAAAAAATTGGCATAAACTCAAAACTAACTCCAAAAACACATATTAATGAAAAAATTTAAAATTTGGAGAGAATATAACTTTTGGCAAGATTTTGAGTGAGTGAGAACGAGAGGGAGAAGTGAGTGTGAGAGAACTTGAGAAGATAGTGAGAGAGAGAGAGAGATGAAAGAGTGAGTGAGAGTGAGAGATGATGAAAAGAGAGATAAGAGAGTGAGTGAAAGTGAGAGTGAGAGATAGTGAATAGAGAGATGAGAGATTAAGTGAGAGGAGTGAGTGTGAGAGAAAGGGTAGGATTTGGGGAGAGGGAAAGAGAGAGGAGAGGT